CCTAAATATTTGTGACTTTCTCCCTAATCATTCAGAAATTACCTAAAATTACTTTATACCTTTATGTTTTTGACTCCAGACTACAAAAAAAGAATATTAGAGCTCAACCACATGGTCTTTCTGTATTTGCAAAAGTACTCTGGTGATGATCAATTTACTTTATCTATGTTGAATTAGTATGGCATATACCACTTATACCTTCTTACAAACAGAAGTTCTATGTCACATTAGTGAAATGTTATCATTTTAAGTTACCAGATTTGAGAAATTTAGTTTAACAAATCTTTAAAGTTATAAGAAATTATCAGAAAACCATACCTTTAATCTTGTAAGTAATGTATCACCCACCTATAAAAATGATCCCATTTCTACAGTAATATAGTTATACTACCTACAGCCAAGGAAAAAAAACTTATAAATTCTGGTTTAAAATATAACCGATATGGGGCACCTGGGTGGCTCAATCAGTTAAGCGTCCGACTTCGGCTCAAGTCCTGATCTCACTGTTCATGGGTTTAAGCTTCACAATGGGCTCTGCGCTGACAGCGTGAAGCCTGGAGTCTGCTTCTAATTGTCCCCTCTCTCTCTCAAAAATAAACACATAAACCTTAAAAATAAAACCAATATAAAGATAGGGATATACAGGTATAAATGCAATTATACTTTACCACTAAGAAGACCATAATAAATGATCAACATAGTACATAACCAAAAGGAGAAATTGATCAAAGCACTTAGCTAAAAATTAAGGTATCCAGCCAGGAATTCTGCTTATGGTCACATGGTCTAGACTCTAAACAGGTTTAGCCATAGACATCCTTACCAGATATTAAAAGAATATGTTACTTAATTATAAATCTAATTCCTCAAAATTAGTATCAAGCAATACTATATATTTTAGCAGCATTTAAAGATAACTATATATATTTGATATTAATCAATATTATATAATACCTTTAGTAGCAGCACACAAATACGGAGCCATTTGCTGCTACTATTATTGCTACTGCTGCTACTTCTGCTACCACTTACCACTTAATAAGCTCTAAAATATGCTAAGTATACTCTAATCACTTTATAAGCAATTTTTTAATGTTTATTTTTGAGAGAGATAGTGTGAGTGGGGGAGGGGCAGAGAGAGAGGGAGGCAGAATCTGAAGCAGGCTCCAGTCTCCGGGTTGTCAGCATAGAGCCCAACACCAGGCTTGAACCCACGGACCACAAGATCATGACCTGAGCCACCCAGGCGCCCTTACTCTTACCACTTCATAAATATTTACCTGTTTAATCCTCCTAACAGCCCTGTGAGAGAGGTACTATTACTAGCCCTGTTCAACAAATGGAGAAACTGAAGTAAAAATAGCTCACAGTAGAAAAACTTAATCAAGATTACATAGGTGTAAAGAGCAGAGTTGTGATTAAAACCCAGGTAGTCTGATTCAAGCTCATTCTCTTAACCAATAAAAACAAAACGAAATTTAAAAATCCACTTCTCTAATTTTAATATTACCAATCACAGCTTATCCTATACTTGATTTCTTTATTCTTGAGGCTTCTACATAATGTTTCTTTCCTTTATATTGATATTAGAATCCTGCTTATAGGACTCCAGGATTTCTGAGAGGCATTTTAGAGAGAATGTAAAATAAAGTGAGTAGAGCATTTGCCAGAGTATCATACTGTTTGGATAGGATTTAGCTCTAGTATTTGCCAGCTTTGTGACCTTAAGCAAAGTACTTAATTCTCAGAGTATCCTTATCTATAAAATGGGAATAACAATAGTAACTGCCTATGCCATTGTAAGAATTAGAGAAGATTCTAACTAACAAATATTTATCAGGCAACTAATATACACCATATGCTATTCTAGGTACTAGGGATACTTATGAAAAAGACTGACATTACATTCTAACAGGACAGATAGATAATAAACAGGTAAATAAATAAATTCAAACAGTAAGAGCTATGAAAAAAATAAGGCACTGTGAAAGAAAATGAGGTAGAAAACATTGGCAGAGGCAAACACACAGTATATATTATTATTGACAATTTAACATTAAAGGCTCCTAAGATGACTTTTCCCCATTTAGTATTTTTAAGAATTTAAAGGAAGACTCTTTGAGGGCAGGGAATATAGTTTTCATTCACTCAGTCTTTAACTAGGTTCCTAGCACAAAGCTAGGTACTTGGAACATAAAGATGAATGTAACAGTCACGGCCTTCAAGGAGGTCTCAATATACTAGAAAACCTGGTGTTGTCCTTAATGGAACTTAGAGCCTTGTAAAGAAGACAGTAAGAGTAAGGTAAGTGTTAAAAACCGAAAAGTACAAGGACCATTCCAGATGGGAATCTAACTCAAAATTGGGGATGTCAAAGGCAGCTTCCTGAAGAATTAGCAGAAGCTGGTCAAAAAAAAAAAAAAAAAAGGAAGGAGGAGAAAGCGCAAAAGAAAAAGTTTATAGAGGACTTCTGATTGTACAGATAAACAGGAAGCCTTATAAGCCATCTAAAGACTTCTAGGGGTGCCTCAGTGACTCAGTCAGTTAAGTGTCTGACTTAGGCTCAGGTCATGATCTCACAGTTTGTGGGTTTGAGCCCCATGTCAGGCTCTGTGCTGACAGCTCAGAGCCTGGAACCTGCTTCGGATTCTGTGTCTCCTCTCTCTGCCCCTCACCTGTTTGCTCACTTGCTCTTTCTTTCTCTCGTTCTCTCTCAAAAATAAATAAAACATTAAAAAAATAAAATAAAATAAGGACTTCTAGAATTTGTCCCCAGAGTCAATGAGTTTTTTCATCTCCTCCCTGAAAAATTAAATGTACAGACAGAACATATGAAACAATAGTTTTTAGGATATAGGATTTCAGGTAAGAAAGAGTGATCCCTGAAAGATAGGAAATAAATGCAATAGGTCCTATAATCACCTAGACTTACTGCCTTGAGAGTTTCTAGGCTGTGCCATGGGGAGAGGGAACCAAGATATAGCCCAGCAAACCTGAATTGAAGAGACTCTGCTCTTCAGTCCAGAAAAATGGGAAGGCTAAAGTTCACAGGGAAGAATATTAAAGTGGAGATAGCTGCACAAAGAATGAATTCCAGAGATCTGCAGACAGACCTCTCAAATATCTAGCAGGGTATTAGTCAGCATATGTGAGTGAGTAAACAATCCAAGAGAGCAGAAAGAATCACCCTAAATGATGAGGCACTCACACAGGGCATGGAACAGTGCCTGTTCCCACCAGCCAGACGAGAAAACCTAACAATTCATAGAGCATTAGGTAGAGGACTCAGAAGGAGCTAGCCTCTACTGAGGTAACCCACAACTAAACCCTGCTCAGATCCCACCTAACAAATCCTAGAAGCAATTAAAAGCATCAAGCTGATTCCCTGTAACTTAACTGTATCTCAGAATAAAATTCAAGAGTATTTATAGAAATATAACAACACCCAGCACCCAGCAGGTAAAATTCACAACATCTGAAATTTAATTTAAAAATTTTTTAATTAAAAAAAAGGCACGATTCCATTTATATAAAACTATGGATATGAAAACTAATCTACAGTGACTGAAAAAAAAAACTCTAGAGTTGCCTGGAGGTGGAGGGATGGGGTAGAAAAGGTCCACTGGTCTATCTTGCACTTAGGATGGATCTTTTCCAGGTATCATTTCATAATATCATGCACAGGCCATTTAGAAAATATTTGGTTCACTGATTTTACAGATCTTATAAATAGTAATACATTTCATTATATAATATCAAAAAGTCACACTGTATATCACCACCAATATCATTAGGAAAGTCTACAAGTACCATAAACTGCCAAGTTCACAGTGGCATATACAGTTTTTCAAAATTCTGATTTTCAATCAAATTTTATCAGGCTTACTTTATTTCAAGAATTGCCATAGTTTATCTGTCAGTCATTCTTTCAAGTAAAAATAATGTTCCATGAAAAATGTGGCTAGTTCAGCTAACAATTCAAACTATTCTACAAGTGCTTTTCCTCAAGATAATCATCCTATTCTGCATGCAAAATGTTTTGAGTACTACTCACTTCTTCACACAGAATGTTAAAAAAGCTCAAGGGCTGAGTTAATAAAATTAGTAATTTTTACTGCTTCATCAAGGATATTCTCAGGTGAAACTGGCTTTTGTTAGCTGTTCATTAATGAAGAAAACTACTATGCGGGGGGAGGCGGGTAGTGCCTGGGTGGCTCAGTCAGTTAAGCATCTGGGTCTTTCGGCTCAAGTCATGATCTCACATTTCATGAGATTGAGTCCCACATCAGCTCAGGTCCTGATCTTGAGGTTCGTGGGGCCCTGCCTCAGGTTCCATGCTGACAGCACAGAACCTGCTTGGGATTCTCTCTCTCCCTCTCTCTCTATCCCTCCCTCGCTTGCACACACTCTAAGTAAATAAATAAACTGAAAAAAAAAATGAAAAAAAAAGATTGGTATCACTTTTTTAAAGTAGGATCTATGCCCAGTGCAGAGCCCAACATGGGGCGTGAACTCACAACCCTGAGATCAAGACCTGAGCTAAGACCAAGTTAGACGCTTAATCAACTGAGCCATCAGGTGCCCCTTATAAAAGGCAAATAACATATTATTACTATGAAAATACTTTTTACCTCACACACTGCCTGAGAAAAAATGTCAGTAATCTCCAAAACTCCCTAGACTACTCCTTGAGAACTGCCTGCCCAAAGGACACTGAAAGAATTATAGGGAAGTATAGTCCACAACATTAGAATCTACAAGAGAAAAATAACCTTTCAGATTTCTTTCTAGTCCAATTCTCTCATTCTATAAATGAGGAAAGTGGGGCACAAAGAAAATAGGGTTTCCTATCTCACACATTAGTAGCAGAGATGTGACAGCACTTTGAGGACTTCTGAGTTGTTTTCTACTATTCTTTGCATTATACTATTCCTTAAAAAAAAAGAGTTTAGCAAATTCCACATTTTCCTTCTTTACTGAACAATGGCATAAATACATACATTTTGTAGAGAAAAGGAGTTTATCTTTCCTAATGGAGAGCTGAGTTTTGTGGTCTTTCCTGAAGCAACTTTTGCATCCAAATGACGCACTTCCTTTTCAAAACAATGACGCTTTCTTATCTGTTAACACAGAACCAAAATGAAGTTTAGTGCAAACTAAAAGTCTGAGCAGGCAAGTTGTTCCTGAAGGTCAAAAGTAGTTTTTCTATATGTGTTCAGCATTCAAAAAAAAAAAAAAAAAAAAGACTCTTTCTAACTGGAAATAATCAAATAATTTTTAAATATACAGGGGCACCTGGGTGGCTCAGTCAGTTATGTGTCCAACTTCGGCTCAGGCCATGCTCTCGCGTTTGTGAATTCGAGCCCCACATCAAGCTGTGTGCTGACAGCTTGCTCAGAGCCTGGAACCTGCTCCGGATTCTGTTTCCCTTTCTCTCTGCCCCTCCCCCGCTCACACTCTGTCTCTGTCTCTTTCAAAAATAAAGAAACATTGGGGCGCCTGGGTGGCTCAGTCGGTTAAGCGGCCGACTTCGGCTCAGGTCATGATCTCACGGTCCATGAGTTCGAGCCCCACGTCAGGCTCTGTGCTGACAGCTCAGAGCCTGGATCCTGTTTCGGATTCTGTGTCTCCCTCTCTCTGACCCTCCCCCGTTCATGCTCTGTCTCTGTCTCAAAAATAAATAAACGTTAAAAAAAAATTTAAAAAAATAAATAAACATTAAAAAAATAAAAAATAAAAAAATAAAAAGTACAAAGTAGCTATATACCAATTTATGCCTTAAGTAAATATTTAACTAATTCCTCATATATAGGAAAGCACCATGTACTTTAAAGACATATTATGAATAATGTATTATAATGACATTCTTTTCAATGAGTAATATTATAAAATGAAGTTACAATATTTTATCCTTTAATTTACATCTATGATACGACCCAAGTAAATTGCACAAGGGCCAATTGAAAACTTGATTGATACTTGACTACCTTGTGCAGCTCTAATGGTACTATTTCACTGCCAATAAATTGTTTACCTGCTGTGTAGTTTCTAAGGGTCGAATTCTTTTCTTCTCTACTTGAAAATCATCATTTTCATCTCTTTTTATGGAAGCCTGTTTCTTGGCAGATAGCTTTGCAGCCAATGTAGTTTTTTCAGGAGAGTCTTCTACAAGAAGTCATAAAAAATTAGTATAAATAACTGACACTTAGGCAATTTTTCCAGGAAAAATTAGAACCAAGATGTTAAAGACTCAAAATTTCCTTACTTTAAAACATGAGAAGGTTGACATGCTTAAAAGCATGTATTTACCATTGAGTTTAACAAAGATATAACATTTTGAGAAATATGCTTTCATCAGGAAAGTCCAATTTTGATTTCTTAATAGGCTTATGCTTTTGTAAACCACTCCCGATAATGCGGTTTAAAAAATATAACTGTAAGGGGTGTCTGGCTGGTTCAGTCAGTTGAGCATCCAACTTCAGCTACATCACAATCTCACAGATTTATGAGTTCAAGCCCCACATTGGACTCTCTGCTGTCAGCACAGAGCTTGCTTTGGAAACTCTGCCCCCCCTCCCCCCCCTCTCTTTCTGCCCCTCTCGTGCACTCTCTCTCTCTCTCTCAAAATAAATAAACATTAAAATATATATATAAGGGCACCTGGGTGACTCAGTTAAGTGTTCAGGTCATGATCTCGTGGTTCATGAGTTCGAGCCCCATGTCAGGCTCTGTGTTGACAGCTCAGAGCCTGGAACCTGCTTAGGATTCTGTGTCTCCCTCTCTCTCTGCCCCTCTCCCGCTCATGCTCGGTCTCTCTCTCAAAAATAAGCATTTAACAAATTTTTAATTAAAAAATATACATTTATATAGATATAGATATCTGTAAGATTCTCCCAAGAAAAGTATTTCATTTATATATACATCTTTCTACAGTATCTCAATGTTTCTTCCCCACTAAGCTTCTAAATGTTCTTTACACTTAAAAATACAGTCGAATCAAGCTCCTATAATCTGCCTTTTAGTCCCACTACCTTGAAGGTCATCAGTGACCTCTTAATCACCGAATAATATTAGCTCCTTTTAATAAATGTGAACACTAGGTTTTAAAGAAGTTAATACGCCCAGTATCATATAGCTAGTAAGAGGCAGAGCGTGGATATGACTGACTCTTGACATACTTGACGACTCAAAGACAGACTCTTTGACTCCAAAATCCATCACATAACCTCTAGGAATACAGACAAACAGAACACTGTCTTTCTGAAATATAACAAATACGTTTCCTTTTTCCTTAATATCTGTTAACACTTTACTTAACTGCTCCTATACATGGGTTTCTCCTTTTCTCTAAAAGTGAGTGTTCTGAAAAGTACCTTCCTTCCTTTCCACTCTTCTCTATACATTCCTTCCACTTCTAGGGCTTGAATTCATTTAACAAGCATTTATTTTACTGAGTCCATATATTTCCAGAAACCATGGAAAAGCAATGAAAAAGAAACAGCCTCTGCCTTAAAGGATTTATAGACCATTAGAGAAGAAAGCCCTATAAGCAGGTCCAATACTGATTTCAAAAACCAAGTTTGAGTCTGTAAAAACAAAGTAAATCTATGCCACATAGCACTGATTCTCAAGCTTTTACTGAGGACTATATTTTTTAAATAAATATTGCTTAAAATTTCCAAAACAGAATAAAAGACCTAGAACTTCCCTGACTCATTGTGCCCTTACCCCTACAAGCCATGTTTTTTCCCAAGACTCTTAGGAACATAGTTTAAATACCATTGTATTCTAAAATCTTAATGGTTTTGCCTTTTATATGTAGGTTTTTTTTTTTTTTGACCTATACAATTCAATTTTATTAGTATCAAGCAGCATGCTAAAAGTTTTACATAGATCAGCTCCTGCTACTATGGCATAAAATAGCAATTGTTAGTTTACAATTGGGGAAACTGATACATAGGAAAATGGAGTTAAATGCCCAAGGTAAACAATGGGACCGATTCTAAACCTGTTTCCAATGTAATCCAATACCTTGAAATTCTGGATTTTTTTAAAGATTTTATTTTTAAGTAATCTCTACACCCAACATGGGACTCAAACTCACAACCCTGAGATCAAGAGTTGCATGCTCTACTAAGCCAGCCAGATGACTTTTTAACTTTTTTTTTTTTAAAGTAAGCTCTATGCCCAACATGGGACTTGAACTCATAACCCCAAGACCAAGAGCTGCATGCTCTACCTGCTGAGCCAGCCAAGTACCCCCAATACACTGAAGTTTTAAAAAATTACCAACTAATATAAGCTCATTATGAAAGATTTCAGCAAATCAGAAATATAAATAAGAAAAAGTAAAATGCCATCTGCTTCCCTCCCCCACCTTCTCACTTCTGTAAATCTTCCTCCCTGAGGTAATCACTATCAATCTTTTGGCCTAAATCCATCCATCCATCCATCCATCCATCCATCCATCCATCCATCCAACCTTCCTTCCTTTCCTTCTTCCCTTCCCTCCTCCCTTCCTTCCTTCTTTCTTTCTTCTTTTTTTTCCCAATATTTATTTTTTGTTTTCCTCACAGTAAGTGTACTCTTTTATCCCCATCCCACTCACCCCCCTCTGGTAACCATCAGTTTGTTCTCTACAGTTAAGAATCTGTTTCTTGGGGCGCCTGGGTGGCTCAGTCGGTTGAGCGTCCAACTTTGGCTCAGGTCATGATCTCATGGTTCAGGAGTTTGAGCCCCACTTCAGGCTCCATGCTAACAGCTCAGAGCCTGGAGCCTTCTTCAGATTCTGTGTCTCCCCCTCTCTCTGACCCTCGCCTGCTCACACTCTGTCTCTCTCTCCCTCAAAATAAATAAACATTAAGAAAACAAATTTTGTTTAATAAAAAAAAATTTTTCAATTAAAGATTCTGTTTCTTGGGATGCCTGGGTGGCTCATTCGGTTGAGTGTCTAACTCTTGATTTCGGCTCAGGTCATGATCCCGGGGTTGTGGGACTGAGCCCTGCATTGGGCTCTGCACTGAACGTGAAGCCTACTTAAGATTCTTTCTCCCTCTGACTCTCCCCCGCTTGCCTGTGTACACACCCTCACTGGCTTTAAAAAAAAAAAAAAAAGGTCTTTCTTGGTTTGTCTTTTTTCTCTTTGCTTTCCTTTGTTTCATTTCTTAAATTCCACATATGAATGATTTCATATGGTATGTCTTTCTTTAACTGACTTAGCATTATACTCTCTATGTTGTTGGAAATGGCAAAATTTCATTCTTTTGTTTTTTATTACATTTCTTTGTTTTTCAGAGGCAGAGAGAGACAGAGTGCGAGTGGGGGAGGGGCAGAGAGAGAGGGAGACACAGAATCCGAAGCAGGCTCCAAGCTGTCAGCAGAAGCCTGATGTTGGGCTCAAACCCACTGGCAGTAAGATCACGACCTGAGCCAAAAGTCAGATGCTCAACTGACTGAGCCACCCAGGTGCCCCACTTTCATTCTTTTTATGGCTGAATAATTTCCGATTGTATTTACATACCACATCTTCTTTATCCATTCATCTATCTACAGACACTTGGGCTGCTTTCGTAGCTTGGCTATTGCAAACAATGCTTCAATAAACATAAGGGTGCATGTATACCTCTGAATTAGTGTTTTTATATATTTTGGGTAAACACTCAGTAGTGCAATTCCAGGACTATAGGGTATTTCTATTTTTAATTTTTTTTTTCAACGTTTATTTATTTTTGGGACAGAGAGAGATAGAGCATGAAGGGGGGAGGGGCAGAGAGAGAGGGAGTCACAGAATCGGAAGCAGGCTCCAGGCTCTGAGCCATCAGCCCAGAGCCTGACGCGGGGCTCGAACTCACGGACTGCGAGATCGTGACCTGGCTGAAGTCGGACCCTTAACCGCCACCCAGGCGCCCCTCTATTTTTAATTTTTGAAGAACTTCCATACTGTTTTCCAGAGTGGCTGCACCAATTTGCATTCTCACCAACAATGCAAGAGGGTTTCTTTTTCTCCATATCTTCACCAACACCTGTTGTTTCTTGTGTTTTTGATTTTAGCTATTCTGACAGGTATGAAGTGATATGAAGTGATATTGTGGTTTTGATTTGCATTTCCCTGATGATGAGTGATGTTGAGCATCTTTTCATGTGTGTTGGCCATCTATCTGTCTTCTTTGGAGAAATATCTGTTCATGTCTTCTGCTCATTTTTTAATTGGATTCTCTTTTGGATATTGAGTTGTATCAGTTCCTGTATTTTGGATACTAACCCATTGCCAGTTATGTCATTTGCAAATATCATCTACTATAGGAGAAGTAGGTTATGTTTTAGTTTTGTTGGTTGTTTCCTTTACTGTGCAGAAAATTTTTATTTTGGTGTAATTCCAATAGTTTATTTTTGCTTTTATTTCTGTTGCCTCAGGAGGCAAATCTAGAAAAACATTGCTATGGCTGATGTCAAAGATTATTGCCTGTGCTCTCTTCAAGTTTATGGTTTCAGGTCTTACATTTAGGTCTTTGATCCATTTTGAGTGTTTGTGTATGGTGAAAGAAAATGGTCCAGTTTTTCTTTTGCATGGGGGTGTCTAGTTTTCCCAACACTATTTGGTGAAGAGATGGTCTTTTTTCCAGTATATACTCATCCCTCCTTTGTCAAGATTATCCACATAATTGTGGGTTTTATTTCTGGGTTTTCTGTTGTATTCCATGTAGCTATGTGTGCATTTTTTGCCAGTATCATACTATTTTAATTGCTACTGCTTTGTAATATAACTTGAACTGTGGAATTGTGATACCTCCAGTTTTGTTTTTCTTTTTCAAGATTGCTTTGGCTATCGAAGCAAAACAATCAACGTCATATGTCACATCAATAGGAGAAAGGATAAAAGCCATATGATCACTTCAAAAGATGCAGAAAAAGCATTTGACAAAGTACTACATCCATTCATGATAAAAATCCTCTGCAATGTAGGTCTAGAGGGAACATATCTCAATATGAGGCCTTATATGAAAAACCCACAGTCAACATCATACTCAGTGATGAAAAACTAAGAGCTTTCCCCTAAAGGTCAGGAACAAGTGTAACCACCTTTATTCACATAGTACTGGAAGTCCTAGCCACAGCAATTGGACAATCCAAAGAAATAAAAGACATCAAAATTGATAAGAAGTAGA